GACTCGGGAACTCAACTCCTACCCCGGGCAGCTCACCTATCCCCTTATGCCCAGGGGAAAGGTATCAAGCCGTTTGACAGCAGATGCTAGCTGTCAAACCGGCTTTTACGCAAAACAGGCGGGAGGCAGCAAACAGCTGCGACCGACGAAATCGCCTGCCACCGGAAGTCTCTTATGGAGATACCTTATGATCTGAAATTCCTATAGATAATAAGAGCTTATGAAATGGAGACGTTTAGAACATGTTATAGGTGTGTATGATAGCCATAGATGGAAAGAAGAGTTATAAATAAACTCAGTCACAGTTAAGAAGTGAGGCTATTTGCCTTGATGGCAAGTTAGGTGGCACTATGGGTATCCCTTGAAGATGCCCTCTATCTTCTTGGTCATCTCCAATTGTAGATGATGGGCAGAAAACAGCTGGAGCTTAATACCCAATAATTGAAAAAAGAGTTTTTCAAAAATATGTCCTGAATTATGGACTCTGTCAGAGACTAATTGATTGCAGAAACTTACAGAATTTGTTGAATGAATAAGCAAGGGAATTGGGAAAGAGCATGACTGGGAATGACGTGGGCAAACTTTAAAAAGAAATCCATAAACATTAGAGCGATGTCCAGATTTTAACACATTGTGGCTCAGTTATTAAATCCAAATTTAGACGAATTTCTTGTGGGCAAAGGACAGAATGCAAGAAGTCAGAGGATTTGCAGATATGAAGCTTGGTAACACAATAAGTGTTGCATGAAGAAACATTACCCTTGATATAAACTTTATCACGAGGTTACACAAGTCACAGAAAAGGAGATCAGTGTTTCTCCAAAATGCCCAGCTTCTATAGCACAGATGCATGTTCTTAAGCATGGATGGATATATAGATGGATGGATGGATGGATACATGCATACAAACATACATAGATACCAAGATAAGCAATAGATAGCTCAAATCTTCTACAATCATAACGATTTTAGAAATAAATGGAAGAAGGTATTGATGCTAATAATTGGAGAAATAAGAGCCAATATGCTGGGTTATGTATTTTATTTTTTACAAAAAAAATGCAATGAAGACTGATTGTGGAGGACTTCTCAATACATTTCTTTAGGCAGACTAATTGTGTATTTAACATTGGTAGCAACACTTTTCTGCAACCTGGGCTCCAAGAATAAGATTCTTTGTGCAGAAATTATGAAAGGCTAGGGTCTATGCCATTACAAAGACATCAGGATAGTTTGCATAGTTAATATAAGTCACCCAAGGTTTATGTAAAATGGAAGCAATAAATTGAAGGTGTACCTCTTGAGAGATAATGAGGTTAAGACTATTAAGCTGTTAGACTCCTGGGAAGATTATATTAATGTCATTATGGTCCCAGTGAATATATGGCTTGCAGTCTGTAGCCAGTCTATTCCCAGAGCTATTGAAACATGTAATTGGAAGACTATTTAGTTCCAATAGAAGAGAATATATGTATTTCAGAGTTGAATTGTAGAGTCCTTGGTCTCTCTGAACACCAAGCTCAGAGCATCATGAACTCCACAGAATATTTAGTTTCAGGGATTTCAGTTGGTTGCTGGTGCTGAATTATATAGTTTTGTGCATTTTTCCTAAATATAAAAGCTGGCTATCAATAGTCTCTTCAGGTTGGACAATTGAGAATTAAGTGAAATTTCCTATGATGTGAAAGCCAACCAAGAGGTACAGCAGTAATTCAGTGCTATTTTGAGCCCTAGCTTAATCAGAAATGATTAAATATGGAATTTAAATTCCGGTTGACCCAGCTTCTAAGCCCTATTGCATCTTGCAAATCTCTTTGGTCTCCCAGCTGCACTAATTCAACTTATGATATAGGGGTGGATATGTGAGAAGGAAAAGAAGAGGATTCTGTCATCTTCTCTTCCAGCCCATACTCTGCTGCAATTCCTCAAGTGTTCCAGCAAATTCAAACTGGATTAATGCAGACAAAAGCCTTTGGGGTGCATTTCATCTGTGGTTCCCCCTGAACTCATTGCTGAAGCCTTTTTAATTGCTTCCCATATCCTGATATAACAGTATATTCCCGTATCAAAAATCTTAGCTTAGCTTATGAATCCCCCAATTGGAGTCACTGGCTTGATTGAATACATGTTCCATAACCTTTGTGCGTTTATTCCTATTTGAACTGTTCTGGGTGTTTTTGATTTTTGATTCTGTAATGAGAATCAGATTCTAATTTTGTTGTATCTGGCTGAGAAGAGGAGGCACATATTTGTTTTTTCTTCTGTTCAGTTGTGTCTGATTCTTGGAGACTGCCTGGACAAGTCTCCAGGCAGTTTTCTTGGCAAGGATTTTCACAAGTGATTTGCCATTGCCTCCTTCCTAAGGTCAGGATTACAAGTCATGGTGTCCTGGTTTCTAGTCTGATACTTTAACCACTATACTCAACTGGTTGTCATATGTTTATCTACAATGTGTATTAAAATGCTGATGTGGAAATTTGCAAACATACTTCATACATAAGAGTTATTTTTATCAACACAAGAATCTCACAAAAAATATTTAACTGCTATTACTTTTTAAGAAGCAAACATTGACTTTTATCAATACTGCATTACTTAATGTACAAGCTAAGGAAATATGCCCCATGCAAAAGATGGCTACTTTTTGTTAGAACAGAACAGAACAGAACAGAATGACAGAATTGGAAGGGACCTTGGAGGTCATGTAGTCCAATACCCTGCTCAGGCAGGAAACCCTATTCCATTTCAGACAAATGGTTGTCCAATCTCTTCTTAAAAACTACCAGTGTTGGAGCATTCACAACTTCTGGAGGGATGTTGTTCCACTGATTAATTGTTCTGACTGTCAGGAAATTTCTCCTTAGTTCTAGGTTGCTTCTCTCCTTGATTAGCTTCCATCCGTTGCTTCTTGTCCTGCCCTCAGGCGCTTCAGAGAATAGCTTGACTCCCTCTTCTTTG